CTGCATGACCGTACAACAGTATGCTTTGCTCTTCTTCGTGAGCTTTTTAACATGTGCGTGCATGTTACACGTGCATGTTACACGTGCATGTCATACGTGCGTGTTACACGTGCTTCAGTCAAAACTGTCACATCTTTTATTATGTCTCACACTGTTTATATAGTTTTAACCTCGATAAAGAAAGCCCTCCCTTACCCGAGAAAAACACACCGCATACGCCTTCATGACAGTTTGCTCTAAAAAGGAGTCGAGTTGAAGGGTCTGGTATATTCTTCACCACATGCGTACGTATTTCGGCGAGACGAGTACGTTAATATAAGTTATCAAATGAAATTAATATAGGATGTAAAACGTCCATATATTGTTCGCGTTTCCTCAATCCAAGTTTTTTCCAAGAAAAACTTAACAACCCGTTCCATTTTACGCCTTCTCAGCTTCGTTTCCGCCAGTCGGGCGCTGGATTCGATTTTAGAGTCTAGGACTGCGTTCCTATGCCTAGATCGATCTAACAGGATCGGTCTATCTCCAAGGGGTTTCTCGCTAAATTGCTCTCAGCTTAAGCGGCTTAGATGTCCGGGACGCCTACCAAAGCTGCTAAACGATAGTTATTACCCCCTATCAGCTTCAGTAGGCGTGACAGACATCTAAGCCACTTTAGTTGATTGCAATTTAGCAAGAATCCCCTAGGAGATAGATCGATCCAAAGTTAGTACCCTAGGCTCTGGGAATGGTCTCTAGGGTTTAGAATGATCAAATTTATCAAAACAGTCACCTTAGAATGTCTAAACATCCATTATGCACGTCTTTACCTCAAAAAGTTACGACTTTAGCGGCGGAGTAGAACCTGTGCAATATGTGTAATATGTATAACATTTACAGGGGCAGATCCAGGATTTTTTGAAGAGGGTCGGTTTTGGCGTGGGGTCCGGGGTGAGTTGAATGGACCGGAAAATATTTGGTATTTTAGAGGGCGAAAAGTGCCACTTGGTACGGATTAGAACTACGATTCAGCTAGTAAAAATTCTAATTTCAAGAAGGGGCCATTGGTGTGATTTTTTTCAGAAATCAAAGGGGGGCCAGGACCCCCTGACAACCCCCTAAATCTGCCTCTGTGATTAACAATATTACCAATCTTTGTCTGTTCAGTACTACACACACACACACACACACACACACACACACACACACACACACACACACAGGTGAGGACAGTACTTCAGCAAATAAGGTGTTTGTGAAAATCCAAGAGAAAAAAAAAGCAAAGTGCGAAATGTATGGTTTTCGTATTTGGAAGAGGTCCATCTCTGGCAGAGAAAGTAACTCTTCACGGGCTATGAAAAAGCAAAGGTTCTTCTTTCGCCACATGAAGTGAAATGACTTGCCAAAATTCCGCCTTTTTGTAAAATCTTAAGTAAGTTAAGAAGCTTGAATTTTGTCGGCAACTCAAAACACATTTTCCAAGACAAATTAATGTATACAAAATATACCACTACCAGAAATTACTACTTTAACTCTTGTATAATATTCTATCCGATTGTGTTTGTTCTAGTTATAACTTATAACCTTCATTTATAAGATTTGATAAATGTACAAAATATGGTGACCTCTTGGCTCATGTATTGTATTTATTCCCGTAACGTCACGTCAATAAATAAATATTATACAATACCAGTGCCACCATTAACCTTTCGTGTCATGACTGCAATGTAAGTGGCTGTGTTATCATCATTTCCTAGTCGTGATAACACTGACTGTGCGCTACCCTCAGCCTCAGAGAATAGGAGTGAACCTGCCTACTCCCTTCTGACCAAACACACCATCAGAAATAAAAGCAGAGTTTAGTTTCCAGAAGCCAACGAAACTTGGGCTGCGTTCTGCTCGTAATTGTAGCTATCTTATCTTATCTTATCTTATCTGGGGTGAAACTTCGGATTATTGCTGTTGTGTGGAGAATTTAATATACACAGCAAACTGATACTTTAAGTTTTCGGCGATTGGAGGTATCAAAATTGATAAATCATACGACCCCACCCCATAGGTCATCGTTTAAATCAAATGTTGTTTATGCGTTCTCAGCGCCTCGCCCTCGCGCACACGTATGCACGTGCATGCACGTATACACAACTACGTTTCTTCCCGTTCGTAATATTTCCTCTACTGTATAAGGGTTTAACTTACAGCTCTAATATCTTCTTATACCGTCCACAGCAACTCGATTCCAGAAGCCAAAACTTATTTAATCACATTTCTTTTGTTTCAGAAACATTCGGATCAAATATGAACGCTAACCGTGCGTGGCAATGAGACCAATGACCGCATGCCGTGATAGAATTACTTTTTCATGTGTTTAAAAACTGCGAATCTTGAATTTAATAACCCCCTAAAGTCCATACCGTTCAAATGTATGGCAAGGAATTACCAAGGTTACGGAAACAGCTATTATCCTAAATTCTGGGTTGCGACCCAGGGTTCGATATGCACCAGCCGGGTAAATTAGACCACTTAAAAAGATGCTTACGCAATGAGGTTTCTTTTACGCAAAAAATGGGACTAGGCTGGGAGCGGAATGCCACAGGGTGGAAGCCTTTTCAAGTCGGCTTTTATTTTTTATTAACGTTCACCACTACACGCGCCATCGCGTTGTTGCATTGTTGCTCGAGTTTTCATTGCGTGAAACTATTGAGGTGATTTCAGTTATAATACCCTAGTGATTCACGGAAGTTTGAATAGGTAAAGTCTTATATTTCACTTTTCTTGGCATTTTTCCCCTTAAATGAGGTTTCACGAGTTAAAAAAAGCAGTCTCTACCTCCCTGTTTTAAACATGAAAGGAAGAGGTGTAACACTGGGCGTGACGATTTCTTTTCAAGTCTTCCGGTTTTGTTTGAAAGGTAAATTTGACATACCTTTCATTCAGGACATCACACTGTGTATGTCAGCTACAACCTGGTGTATCTAACCAATAACCAAGTTCTAACATCAAAAGTGAAAATGCAACTTGAAACAGTTTTTAGTAATAATTTTATACCTGTTAACATCTTTGGCTGGAGATCTTTTGAATGACTTTTACCGTGAATTATATCTAGAATAATCAGATATGTCATCCACACACATATGCACGAGCGATTTCAAGAAGCGCGTTCAAATCTCATAAATAAAAGACAAATATAGAAACCGAAAACAGAAATTCCTGATTCGCATCAACGAGGGACCGCACACAGCTAAAGAAACCAAGCGTACATTTCCAGAAAATCTTAATGGGGTTGTGCACGGCCAATACTGGTACAAAGGCCTTATTTTACATCAGAGATTATCATTGAATTATTATTGCGCGATGGAGGTACCACTTTATCCTTGGACATATTATTTACTGCCCCTTACCTCCTTAAAACGACAAGTTCAGAGCACGTAAGAACATACTTTACCACCCCTCAGCGTTCCTGGATACAAACTAATCTAGACAGCGTGAAAGCGGGGTTACTTTGTACTAACACACCTCCGATAGTTGTGGTGAGCCGGTAAAGTAACACATCGTCCCTTCTTAACAAGGCCCAGCTCCATGCAATATTTTTGAATTCTGTGAAAAAACATTTCATAAATCCCCACGGCAAAGTATATTACCACGGTTCATTTGTGAAAACATTCTCCGGTCCCCTAAGGCAAATATTTATGGACAAAAATTAAACGAATTGCGGGGAATAAAGTCAGTTATTAACAGAAGCAATCTGAATCAACACTGCGAGGTGTGTAAGTGTGGATAGGAGTAAACTCCAGGACCTACCAGGGAGCATAGAAAAGTCTGAGGTAATAATTTTATTTGATATTTTTCATTGTGATTGTTCAAAGTTAGTATCAGAAAGCAGATTGCCCTGGTTAAAGAGAGAACTAAATAAGAAACAGTATTCTCCTCGTTATTGGACATCAGCCGCCAGTGAACTGTGGTGTGAACATATTCAACTCTACGGGGAAAGACGTTCTGTACAAAATGTAATATATTTTCAGAATGTACATTTTCATATTCATACAAATATACGCGATAGTACACATCGCAATTATAACAATACCATAAAAGCAGCTGTTAGATATAAATACAATCAATCTCTTATTCATAAAGATGTATATAACAATACATTATTTACAGCTGTTGATGCCTTATCACAGACGACAGAATCAGTGGAAACGTTACAGTTAAGGTCATTTTATGGAGGTCAAGGTCAGAACTATTATACTTGACCTTGACCTCATAGTGGTCATGATGACCTTCACCCACAATGGTCATTTTTTATTTCACACTAGAGCAGCAATTTGTTGTCATAAGATAAAGTGACTGGTCCACTATTAATCACTTAGATGTTGGAATGCTTTGAAATATTTCTTAGTGATTACAATTTGATATAATAATTGTTGTTATGCAGGAAATTCCATAGATTTTATACTCTGACTACAATGCATAAAACTTAAAGAAAATATGATAATATTGATTAATGTCTGTTAGAGTGCAAATTTGTTTGTAAAAAGTAACCTGTATGATAAACACACAATAAAAGACAATTTTCTTGATCGATGTATTAGTAGTCGAGGTATTTCATAATCATAACCCTAGATTATATAATAGAACAGTTATATATGCCACCATCCAAAGCACCTGTCACTAAGTATATGTCACCAGATATGAGTAGAATATCATGACCCCAGGGTTATGCTGTGGGTTGGGGTCTCCTCCTTTATACCAGCCATAGTAAGTGACTGTGTTCACTTGTCCTATCTTCACTGCACTGGTTACATCTATGACCTGAAGGAAAGTATCAGAATGCCAGACAGAGTCTAGTAATTGAAGGCAAGTGACTTAGTCTGCTCCCCATAATAGTGGAGTAACCTCACTGAGGTCTTAAATATTGACCTCTCTGCCACTAGTATGCAACCACTAACACACTGCCATCTCACCACTATAAAGTCTTCTGGTAATAGTAACAGAGTATTGATAGGGCAGGGCTTATATATAGTAGGAAGTCTGCATTATGGTTCAACTCGTTCTTAACAAAATAATGACACACTGCATGTGAACTTGAAGGGAACCATTAGGCCTTACAAGACTGTTATGAAAGTACATGTACATGTAGCTACAAACATTTGACCAGTGTAGCATATAAAGTCATATAAAGCTAGGACCCAAAATCTATCTTCTGTCCTAGCTTAAAGGTATTTCATATTAGAATCAGAGAGAGAGAGAGAGAACCTACCCAAGGATCCACTTGCTGTCCGTCACACCAGCCATCTCTGCCATACAGCCAGGTGCCATGTTCATTGGGGGTGACCCCCTGGGGGACTCTGTCTGCACACCCCAAGGGGGTCCCTGCAAAAATAGTGACCTGAGGTGTACCATACAGGTTAGTCTGACTGTGCTACTGTTACAGGTTTTAGACACACACACACACATGCTCACTGTGACACACACACACACACACACACACACACACACACACACGAACAAACACACACTCTGAGGAGACAAATGTAGAAAGTACTCAGTGTATTTTACATGTACTTGGTAAATATCAGGCAAACATGCTGTCCACCATTTTTAAAAGTCTGAACCAAGTACGTGTATAAAATTAAAGCAGGGGAATCCAAATGAATGTCCCCAGCTTATCATAACATGAAGATATTATACAATTCATAGAAATGTACTGTCATAAGCCCATTATATTTTATGTATACTACATGTAATCCTACAAGTATATATATCTGTTTGTTCTAAAGTTAGGTTAGAAAATGTAGTTCATAAGTGAATATACTATGTAAGTAAGATATGGAGCTATACTAAGCATGATTAAAACACCCATTTTAGTCTGAAATCTACAAAGTTACCTGCAGTGTCAAATGTTCTGCTGTAAGTTTTCCCGTTGACAACAAAGTGGTGCGATGTCGGACAAAACTCTCCACAACCATTCTCATCACTCCCATGCCCTGTGATCACTGACACCAACTTCACCTATAGGAGAGAGAAAGTACTAATGCTGAAAAGATGTCTATAACCAAGAACTTAGATACCCCCGGTATGTTCCTTCTAATTTTTTTTTTTAACTGTAAAACACTATACTAGTATATTCCAAAATCATTAGATTACATCTATTCTTTTTGTATTTTCAAACCCCCCAAAAACAATATTTTAAACAATCTAATATGGTTTCTCAAATGTTTTAAAGATTACATTATAATATTTAAAGGAAGGCACAACTTTGAAAATTATGAAAAATAATCTCACCTACCACAATAACATTAACATCACATCAGATAACATTATTTAACATTACTAGTCAGGAGTGAAGAATTACCGTCCTTTGAACCATGACAGCTAACCCACCTTCTTCACATTATTCTGAACATTAAATGAAAAAGGCTGAAAGTGCTTATTGTAGTTTTTATCAAAGGTTGCCCCTGGCGACCATAATGGCTGAACTGTAGATGGTGTTGGAGTCACATCTGTAATGAAAAAGGATTTCAAAACATTTCAAAAGTTTTCGGCAACCACTTTACTCCTGCTGTCATTGTTGTCCTGTAAGTTTTCCCCCTAAAATATATTGTTTAAAAAATGAAATTCTCTTGGCATATTCGATTGATAATTTAAAATAAAAGAACTGATGTAATTACTAATATCTCATAAGGACACCAGTACATGCATGGTACTAGTAAATAATACATGGCAGTACCAGGTACACTAGTAAATACTAGAATGTTTCTACCTCTTACTTTTAAGTTATCTCGATATCCAACATTACTGGTACAGATCTCTGAGGACTTACCTTTATTTCTACACAGTCTGAGGTTCAATGAAGGCATCCATGGCAGGGCCCAGGGGGCAGTCTTCATGTATATCTAATATGACAGGTCTCTGAGGACTTACCTTTATTTCTACACAGTCTGAGGTTCAATGAAGGCATCCAGGGCAGGGCCCAGGGGGCAGTCTTCATGGTCAAGGTACACTGACCATTGCTGGACTCAAGCAGGGGGCGGAGACTGGACACATCTGTCAGCCAGCGACCAATACGCCTGAGGTATAGATATTTATAAAATAGTGAAAGCAAATAAGGGAGATGGAATCAAACAAGGGATTGAAACTCTGTGATGGAATGAAATCTCTGAAGGTATATTGTAGCACTGTCATGAAAGTTAAGCATTAAAATGAAGAACTTCCAGTTAATTTAATGTGCAGTTAATTATTCTACATTAATAGCAATATGTTAACTTACAAAAATTAATGAACCAATTATCATGACAATTTTGCAATTTACTTTGTCTGGCAATGAATCTTTGTCATACTTATGTCTCTCTGCTTTTGTTAAAAAATAATTTGTTTCTTCTACATATCCATATCACCCAGGCCAAGCTCTCCTCTCCCCCCCTCTCTCTCTTTCTCTCTCTCTCTCTCTCGGTCTGTCTGTCTGTCTATATTATATTTTTCTCACTGAGGAATCTCCTACGTGAAGAAATCATGACACCACAAGCCTGTCTCTCTAGCCATACCTCCTGAAAGGGCTAATCCAGCGTCCCAGCTCAGCATTACACAGCTGTTGATCTGTCCTATTACAGCAGACATATAACTGGACGGTGTGGTCCCAGTGAGCGCAGTCCACGTCCCGTGTCCCCGGACACGACAGAGACATGTCCAGTTCTATCCTGCTATACTGGCGCAGCTCTGTGATACACAGACGTTAAATAGAGTAAAATAAGCTACTGGTGAAAGAGATATAATTAAGAAATAAATATCTATACTGTATACATTGATAAAGGTCATCAGCCTGTAGTTTACATAATATGTACACACATCTTTATTCTTTTTTTAGACCCAATATATCAGTCAATATATGATAAATACGATTGCTGAAAAAAATGTAAATTTGAATGACCCTGTTGAACTTTTTTGGGGACAGCATGTTTCAAATTTCGGTAGAGATTTAATTGTATAATATATATGGTTAATATGAATTATACTTTGAGCAAAAAGTCAACAGTCAAATAAATTTACTACAGGGTAAAAAAAAAATACATTACACTGCATAAAACTGCCAAGGATTATCCAAAACTGATACAACACATTTCACACTTAATTAACAATTTACTGTACATTAGGCACCACACATGTACACGTCATAACTGACCACTGATGTTGGGTAACTTGACAGTTGCTACGGCTCCCTTGGCCCCCTGCATACGGGTATGGTTGAATACAGGAATTACAGTACATGGGTGAGAGAGTTTTTCATCTAGGGACTGTCTGTATGAGAACCTGTAACAACAGTACAAGTGCTACTTTGTCTGTATTCAGATCCATTACAATATTGCAACAGTGTCACTTTACATAAACCTGTGGCAGTAAGAACAACTGTGTTACATAAAACTGATAAAACAAATTAATGTTGCTACAGGCATTTCATCAAATTTTTGTATCAACTTGCTTTATTGTTTTATCAGAATCTGCATAAACATGTACAACAGCAATATACAGCTCCTATGAAATGCTTTGCCAACTACACTTTTTGACTACTGTTGAAAAATGAGAGAGAGAGAGAGAGAGAGAGAGGGGGGAGAGGGGAGAGAGAGAGATACCACTGTGCCTGCCAAGCCAGAAACTGCAGGGATGGGTAGAGGAACCAGCCTGTCTCTGCCAGGAGCCCCCTGTTGTCAATTCCCACATAGAAGTTATCACTTGGTGTGTTCTGGAAGGATGCCATGACAGTCCCCAATTTCAACCTGGAAATATTAAAACAATATCTTACAATATGTCCAGTTGTTAACTTCAATTAAAATAAATTAAAATAATTTACAAGTCCTGTACATATTGCCATTATTTTGTTGGTCAAAAATATCCTCGTACCAAATGCTATTCCTTCCTAAATGCTTTACATCGTATACTTATGTATGTACTTATTAATCTATATATGTTACTAAATTAATACATCCTCAATGGTAATTGTTATCCTACCAAATACAACGTTAGTAGTCACAATACCCAACTGGAGATAACAACCAGAAATATATCGGAAGTGCTGCAGAAGAGAAGCAAATTAAAGCTTCTCTTCCAATGGTCTCTTTTATTAAACCACCTAATCCTCTGTGAAAGGGTAAAAATTTCACAAACTCTAGGTATGGCTTCACCTGTTTATCAGTGAGCAAAAATGTTCATTAGCTTGGTAGTTGGACCATAAATGAAAATTATCAAACACAAGCCGAAAAAAACTTTCATACCATTAGCTTAGTGTCAACATCAACTCACATCAGTCTGATGAAGGCCTACGTCCCGGTTGGCCGTAAGTTAACAGTATGAAAGTTTTTTGGCTTGTGTTGGATAATAATATTTTCATTTATTATCACCTGTTCATCAGTCTGGTATTATCAGTTCTAACCACAGTGGCAGGTATACTGAGTTGTACATCACACTGCTTCCCCACACACTTCATGTCAAAGACAGAGTTGTTAGGTTGTGCCTGAACTATCACACCTGCTGCACCTGATGCCTCCATACTGCTGATCTAGAGACATACAGGACATAGTATATATATATGTTTTGTATTATTAAATTGTGTTTTTCATTTATGTCAAATAAGATACTAGTTGTCAACTTTATGGTCCTTATAGGACAATCTTGCATGATAATCAATAACAAAAAAAAAATATATATATATATATATATATATATATATATATATATATATATATATATATATATATATATATATTTATATATATATATATAATATAAAAAATAATATATATATATATATATAATATAAAAAAATAATATATATATACATATATATATTTAATAATGACAACCTGCCAAACAAGCTAACCCAACATTAACATTTAGAATTTAATAATAATAATAATAATAATAATAATAATAATAATAATAATAATAATAATAATAATAATAAATTAATTTTCAAAAAGGAGTTTATCTTTAAAATTGCTAAACATTTCAGCCTGTGGCTTGGTGTTCACCACAAACACACCTTATCAAAATAAGAACAATCACTCCCATCTAGGACATAGGCCAGCATTCCTTTCACTGATGGCTCCTTCCTGCAGCCATTACCAAGGCCAAGCATGGACCTCACTGGCATGCTCTTGTTACCAAACACTGACACTGGGGATGGTAGCCAGTCATAGTGAGCATCCAGACGCATCAGAACCTCAGGGACGCTAACTAAAGATGATGAACGAATTATATCAAAGTTTAATCTTTATCAACGTGCTGCACAGTTTGAATCTTTTCACATAATGAAATTTGCACAAATTTCATGATTTCCATCAAATCACATACTGCTGTTCAACAACATACCTATTGCAGTGAATAAGGATTTCCATCACCTCTGATAAATATGTCAAAGAAGAAAAAGAAACTAATTAAGGTTGGCGTGGGGTTCGGGACCAAGTGAAGGGCTCCCACCAAAATTTTAATCTTTTTCGAACTATGATTCAGCTAGTCAAAATTCTAATTTCAAGAGGGGACCATTGGTGTGATTTTTTTCAGAAATCAAAAGTGGGGGTCAGAACCTATCTGACCCCCCCCCCCCTAAATCCGCCACTGTGTACACACAATTCCAGCCAAATGTTACCTTTGTCATCAAGTACCAGTTGATCCAGTCCACATCCGTGGTCCTGACACTGCCATTCTTTCAGTAACCCAGGGATCCAGTTGCCCAGCTTGTACACTGGGTGCAAGGCAAAATGAAGGTTGGATAACAGCTCTGGTCTGGAGATAATGCATAACATAAGTATATATTCAACAAAAGGAGTATATGGGACCATTCACAATTAATTTTGTCCATCTTACTAATTTTAATCTACTTAAGCAATCCCTGTACCTCTGGCATAAATATTTTGCTAATAATATCCTGGCTACCATGCAGTACACTAGCTGTACTGCCGTGTAACTCGTAACTCTAAATATCAGACTATTTAATCTAATCATCACATTTTGTAAATACCATGGTGCATGTACTTCTTTTAAACAAATGATGAAAATGGGATAAAACCAGCAATCTTTGGTTTTAAGTATTTTACCCAGACTGACCTTTTTACAGCATGAGCAGCTTTAATCAACAGTCCCGCCATGCTTAAAGCGTCCCCTTCCTGTGCCAGGAACACATAGTGGACATTAACAGGGGTGGAATTCAGCATGGACATGGCGGACGCCAAGGAGTCGTTGCTATTCCACAAAGCGTCCAGAAAGCCCGAATGTGGATTAAAGGCATGGAAAAGGATTGACGAGTTGTGGAAGAGCGGAGAAGGGTACACGAGGACCTCGTCTTTCATCCAACCGTTCACTGTACTCAGTTTAAAAGGTTCTGCTGCGTTTCCTGGGACGTGTGTCAGGCTCACACTGTGTTGAAAGTTGTGTTTTCTAACACGTTCTTGAATGTTGGCGTCTCCTATTAATCTTCGGCGAGCTTGCGCGGAAATGTGGCCATATTTCTTCTTTAAGAAATTATGAAAAGCGGTTCTCGAACTGATTTCATTCTGTGACCATGCATATTCGACATCATTGACAAAATCAAACCCTTTCTGGTAATCTGTAATCGCTGGAAATGCTAGAAAATCGTGAGTGCCTTCTTCTAGTTGACCGTCCACCCCGATTATTAGAATGTTTACAAAAAAGGCCAAACACAACAGCTCTCTGGCCGTCGCCATTTTGAACAGTCACATGATCAATGGAACGCACTCAAAGAGAGCTCAACAAACGCAATGGCAGGCACTTCGCCGTGCGTCAGAGAATGGCTTGGTGAACAGTTGATAGAAATTCATGCAAAGCTTCGAAATTCGCCCTCAAAGATATATAAATTCTAAGACCAATATTTGTCTGGAATGGGATCTTAGAAGCTAGCTTAATAGGTCTATCGGATCTTTAACCTGAAAATACTGAATTTTTAACTTATTAGTTGGCTTACATATGTAGCCTAGGTCTACTTAATTAGTAGGCCTATTGTTATTTTGAATCCCTGAATTTTGCACTCCAAATTTAATTAATATAGATGTCGGGAATATAGCTCGGAGGTAGAGTGCACGCTTCGCATGTGTGAGGCCCCGGGTTCCATACTGCTATATTTTTGTCCCATGATAGCCCGTGCTTTTTCACATTGTCAGGTCCTAAAAGAGATCCCTGTTGTTTATATATATATAATAAAAAAATAAAAAATAAATAAAAAATTGGCAGAACCTCCTCAGATCAATTGTTTTTGTGTTGGTTGGATATTCAACAATAGTATAAGACCCCATTCCCATAGATTTTAGATCGATCTATCCCTGTGAGGAGTATTACTAAATTACTGTCAGTTTAACCAGCTTAAGCGTCTGTCCCGCCTAAAAAAAAAAAAAAAAAAAAAAAACTGTAAGGGGCTAATTAACTATGGTGCGCGCTCGGCTGACTGCAATTTAGCGTGGACCCCCAGGGAGTTAGGTCGATCTAAATCTTAATCTCTGGATCGATCTAAATCTCTGGGAATGCACCCTAAGACTGGGTTTCCATCCCAAGCTTCAGCCCAAGCGGCTTAGACGTCTGGGACGCCCACTAAAGCTGCTAAACGATATTTAATTACCCCCTATCAGCCTCAGCAGGCGTGACAGACATCTAAGCCGCCCAAGTTAATTGCAATTAAGCTGGAATCCCCTCAGAGATAGTTCGTTCGAAAGTTTGTAGGCCTACGATAGTCTCTGGGAATGGTCTCTAATAGGCCCATATCACAATTGGAATCTTGAAGTGGGGTCCTTGTGGCTGATTTTGACAGCGCCCAACTACGTGGTGTTGCAGAAAGGGCCTACTCAAGATGAATGCTAAATTCTCACTTACCTCAGCTCAGTTGTGTACGGTGACCCCCTTTACACTGGACGTCGTCCTTTCTTCATCCTTTGTGTGACCATGAAGCTGGCAACGCCGTGGTCGTTGAAAGGAGGCACAAGCAAAATGAATGCTCAAGTATAATGATTTTTTTTCTGTCAAACGGACCTTACTTCGGAACGCAGAAAGGACGCCGACCAGTGTAAAGGGGCTTAAGTAATAATAATAATAATAAAAAGATTAAGCTTCCAGATCAGGGGCGGATACAGGATTCTTTGAAGGGGGGGAGGGGTCCGATTTTTCAGGAATGACATGCTTTGGACCCCATTCAGAATAGGGGAGTTACTACTCCCAGGGTCAAATATGGCTATATCACTACAAAGCTTGCCATCTAATCCGCTAATAGACACTGAATAGGTATCCCTTGGGGAAGTAGGCCTGTTCAAATGGGGCGGCCATATTTGACCCTCGGACTACTAAGTTCCCTATTCTGAATGGGACCTTGGAGAGCAAGCAGTGGCATTTGGAACGGTTAAGGCCTGTAAACCAGCTAGTTTGGAATTCTTATTCCAAGAGTGGACTATTAGTGGGATTTTTTAGAAGCCGACGTGGGGGCACTGCCATTATCTATGCTAATGGGACCTTGGGGCTGGAGGGTCCACACATTGATGATCTGCAGTGGCGGATTTAGAGGGGGGGGGAGGTCAGGGGTCGTGGGGGCAAGAAGAAGTCAAACTCATCATCTCCTGAGACCTTCAGAATATTTTTATTTGTGTATCTCACAAAAGCCTAGCTCGCGCGCGACGAGTCCTTTATTCGACATCAATCATGGTTCCAGCAATTTATATAAGTTCCCGCCATGCTCTATTTCACATCTGTGCGTGTCACGGCTTCACGTCCAACTGCCAATCTGTCATTTTGTCTGAACATTAAATTATTTAAATGCGTTGTGACAGGTTAAGACCACACCTGTACGTATCTGCGCTGTCTCGTAGAAATGCGGCATTTGCTTGTCACTCACAGACGGAAAAGGTAGGTCATTTCAATTTGAACTTTTCTTCGCCGAATGGAAAGGGCGCTTTCATTTTCTTTTTTCATCGGTCGGGTTTAACCTTTACACAGTAAATAGTATTTGTTAAAACATCAATAATATCTATTCTTAACAGTGTTATGAGCAATGTTGGCAATAAACAAAACAGTCATATTAACAGCTGACAGTAATAAAGATGGGGAATCTGGAATAGAATCATGGGCGTCCGCGGGTGGGGGGGTCAATGGAATCACTTGACCCCCCCCCCCTGGAATTTTGGCGGGCACGTTAATTGCGGGTACCCAGCCGATCATTATCTCCCCCCTCAATGACTTTGACCCCCCCCTGGAAAATTTTCTGATGACGCCCATGAATATAACGCAGTCCTTGTCCATGTAATGCCACGAATGATTGGGGCAGTAACGATGACGCAATGAAAATAGAAAACAACTCAATCACTTGAGAGAAAGGTGAGACAGGAACATATTTAAGAACTAAGAAAGAAACTTTTACTGTAACCATCATTCGATAAAAGAAGTGCCGTAATGAAGTTAAAAATATTAATATAATTTTGTACCATTACTGAAATAAAATTCACATTTCATGCCTGATGAAACGTACATGTACTGTACATGTCAATGAGACCAACTGCAAGTAAAAGATTCAAACTGTGCGACTAATGGAAAGTACTAGAAAAGTAACAACAAAGATTACTTATGATTATTTTATGAGGAGGTAATGGAAAATCTGTATTAATGGAAGTTGTGAACTTTGGTCGATAAGATCTGCACCATTGTCTAATTAGACAATTACAACAATTCGTACCATACTGCTCTGCTAGGGGTAGTTATCATGGTAGTTATATGGAAGTAATGGAAAATCTGTAATTATTGCATTAATTATTAGACGATTACAATATACTTTGATGGATAGCTTATTTTGGTAAGTTATGGAAAAATAAATAATGAATTATGTAAGAGCACAAACCATCACACCATGACCAAATAGGGGTGTGTGATTAAACTGATGAAAAGATAAGAATGGAAAGTTGTCGAAAACGTTACCGGTACCATCACTTCGTAAAAATTACCATAATTTGGTGGAGGATGCTGAATTACATTAAGAAAGAAGGAGAAACACTTTTCGACCCAGTACACACTAAAATGAAACATTTTCCACTATCAAATTTTTCATGTTTCTTAACAAAGAGTTTAAAGTAAACATGACAATATCAAACGGCATTTAATGTTTTTGTCATAGCATGTTCAGTAAATGTATCTCATAATATCATATTTCATTTCAGGTAGACAACAATAACTTGCTGTTACAATGTCGATCAACAAGGACGAATCTTGGGCTGTCATAAAGAAGCTAGACACGGTGAAGGATTACAAGACCTGTGCGCACGTTTATGATGAAATATTTGATGTATGTATCCTACCCGTATGTAATACTTGTCCTCCAACTCACTACCATTTTCATAAACCTGGTTTACAAAAGGGAATATAATCTGCAATTTCCCGTTAATTTTTGTATTTCTGATAAGCTACAAATGGTTGACAAATGTACTGAATGGAAAATGCAAGTAGTTATACAATTTCCGTTTGCTACACGAACGGATTCTCCAGCTTCTTTACAGCTTACAAATTGGAGGCATGCCTTATGATTACCTACTCAAACAGCAAGTGATGTCATGATGATAATAAAATAGCAAATCTAGAATATGCACCTTTAGTTTCATTTTTTTTATTGAAATATTGATTTATTACCATTTTCAGACACTTTCCTATAGTGCACCAAACCACGTGGCGCGAGCAGTTAATGAGTTGCTAGGCAACAAGAAGGATGCTCTGATACTGGATGCAGGGGCTGGGACAGGATTGGTGGGGAAGGAGGTCAGTGTTGCTATGGTTACTACCATGCTTAGGGGAATTACAGGAAAGGGAAGTGGGCAAAGATATCGCTTTTCACACCTCACAACTGGAACTGGCCTATTTTGAATACACGAAGCATTTAAATCGAAGTGTATTTCACCATAAAAGAAAGACGTAACTGCACTGGGCAAATGTAATGCTATCAAGGGTTTACAATGAACACTTTTCTTTGATTTATAACTTTATTGTTGGTTTATCATACCGCGCATTACCCTTGTTATCCTTGTTGCTGGACAAAAACCTATAAATTTATGGTCTCATCTTATTACCAGTTGTGGCGTCAAAATATATCGTCACACGAAGTCCCATTGTCCCATTTCTTTGTGACGTACGTAATGCTTCTGTCCCGTTGCAGCTTCACGATCTCGGCTTCACTAACCTCGATGCTCTTGATGGAAGTCAGGAAATGCTTAATATAGCCAATCAGAAAGGTGTTTACAAGAGGACTATTTGTGATTTGCTTGGCACAAATAGATTAGATATATCAAATGGTAATTATATCAAAAATCGCGTTTTTATCTTCATATCCCTGTTATTTTTGTTATCACCATGACTTCTGATGTTAAAGTGCAGGAAGTTTGTGTGTCTAATACAATAAAAACCCATTCTTTAACATATAGTTAAAGGAAAGAAAGCGGAAATCTCAATCTGCACACCAAAGGATACAGGGTATGTCTCAGTTAGATCAGCATTTGTTTATGAATTAAAAGTAATTTAAGATTTGTTCAATCTGTTTTCATTTCATGATAAGACACGTACTCCTGTGTGTTGGTAGTTGGTACCATTGTTCCTGGCCATGCTAACGCCAGTTGTCTCCCGGAGCTCATTAGAATTACCAAACCAGGTGGGTACCATGGAGATGAAAATGCTTTTAGATTTCAAATATATATGGGAAAATGCACTCCTTTTTTTCTTTGGAAAAGATGGATTGCTGTTTAAGAGTGTAGGTATACGCCTTAAGGCTGAAGATTTATAACATGAACACATTTTCGAGCTGGCAATTCTGTCTATCCCTGAATTAATTCCCGCTAAAATACAGTGTAGTTTGCATTAAGTGCAAACACATCATACAACTACTGCATTCGTTTGGACCACATATTTTAAGTTAACATTTTTACATTATAACTGTAATTTACTCTAAAAAAATAAAATGGTTACTGTCAAATTTCTAGGTGGATTTGTGGTCATAACAACAAGAGACGTTCACGTGCAGGGTTGCGGGCATGCCGGGAAATCTCTGGCAGAGTGGATGGGGATACACGAGAAAAACAAGCTTTGGCGAAAGATGGAGACTAAGAGAGTCGAAAATTACCTGGATGGCCATGCTGGGAGTATTGATATATTTCAGGTGGTTTGAGGAGTCCTGATATCACGTGGCCACTTTAAAATAGAATAATGTGATTGTCACTGGTATATCTCAATAGGCTAAGAAGAGACATATAACAGTTTGACGGAGACATTGACTAAGACGAGTATATATATATTTGCCGGTACATACTATTCTTCATCAAGTCTGATCATTGAACATGTAAAAAAAAAAAAAAAAAAAACATTAAGCTTCTGTAAATGATTAATTGCAGTAATAAGAAAGCATTTTATGTTAGCAATTTTACCTAAAATGACCTGGCATAACATTCATTTATTCATTTATTTATTTATGTATTTATTTATTAAAGCGTGCTGTGCAAAAAAAAAAAAAAAAAGCCCCTCGGGCTTATAAGACAATTGGTGATAAGCATAATTTCTCACTCAAAACAAGCATCTTAACTGGAAGATTTGCAAGCTGCCTTATACTCCCTCCCCCCGCAAAATATTCCAATAAAATTTTACTTACTTAAGTTGGGAAAACAAGATTATCATAGAATTTACATCTTATCTTTTAGTTCTTTTTTTTTCACATATTTAACAAGCGTGTCCATTTCTACATGTAATTGTAACATCCGCAGCGAAAATTCGTTGAGGATGCCTTTTCTTCCCTATCTAAATCGGTATACATCTATGTGAACTAGTTAACAACATAAATCTAAGATTTATATTGCAAGTAAAGATTTTTTTTGTAAATGACTAAATGTCTACTAAGTTCTAACGTAAGACATAAAAGAGACAAAATGTTGCAGTTAAATTTAATGCAAAGGCAAGTTTGCAATAACCATAATTTACACCGTAGTTAACATTATGGCAAAAACATGCATATGATTGTGATAAATGCAAGATATATATATATATATTAGCTATTGACCTCATCGTTCATGTCCTTCTGATTCCAATGCAATATAAAAAGAATTGTGTCTTTAACTGTGTCAATAAAACTGTTGGTGTATTGGAAAAAGGTTTTTGACAGAAATATGTCCATCTGCGGAATCATATTGTACACAAATTAAGGTTTATCCAATTCATGCAAAAAAAAAAAAAAAAAAAAAAAAAAGGTCCTTATGGAGAGATTGGTAAGTTTTATCGTCTAACTATCCAAAGACCTTATAGGTAATTCGGCAGGGATCTCAGTCCCAGGTGTGGAATCTAATAGTGACTGCCATATTTCCTGTTCCTGATCCGTGGAGTCCATCCAGTCTACAGAGTAGCCGTTGTGCTTGCCTGCAAAATATGAGTAAAGTTTCAGACACGCAGACATGAGGTACTGCGGATTTTATATTCATATCATTAAAGGACTCAATTTGAAATTGAAGTTCGTCATGACAGAAAATAATACTAAACATGAAAGAAAAATAATAAAAAGTTACCCTAATAATAAATGACATTTTTATATCTACAATAGACTTAACGACTGCCGTACTTAGGTTTGGCTTGCAAAGATCATTTAATTTGAATTATATAGACCTGTTCCCATGTTAAGTCTTATTCCGCCAACTGAAACATCCTTCTCAAATCTATATTTTTCCATGACATTTAGTTGCAAGCATTTGTTTCTCAAAGCTTCAACTGAAGGAGCGTGAAACTGCATTGCTCCTTTCCACGTAGGGTTGCATCCTGTTGACGTTTTCGTTTTCAGCGCTTTTTTGTCTCCTTCTGGGTAGACGAATCTGAAAGGAAATGATGTGTTTGCATATAGGTGTAGTGAATTTCGAACTCTTTGGTCAAAAGGATTCTGTCGAATAGCTGTTACTCTCAGCTAATGTGTCTGAATGGTGCATTCTAGATCTCACTTGTATTGCTTTATTAAATGTTCCATTTGGACAGTGTCCCCGCCCACAGCCCTTAACTAAACGACAAGCATGCGTCAATATAATAACCAATCGGATGACTTAAATTGCATCACACTCAGTACCACAATTTTACGCAATTAAATTACACAGTTACAACTTACTTTGATCAGGGATGCTAGTGGGGTCTGGAAAGAAAACCTGAACTTTTTTT